GGCCGGGCGGCCACCGGCCCTGCTATCCGGAGGGCGGTCCTCCTTTAGAGTAGAGAGTTCTCACCTCCAGACATCCCAAGAGAAGCAGCTGCCCCTTTTCTGTGCACCAAAAGCATGAATCCTGCAGTGCTTGAAAAACTTAGGAGGTTTATTTGGCATCAGCTTTGGGGAACCACAGCCCATCATCATCCAAAGGTACCCACAAAGCTAATGACAAATACATCCTTCTTAAGCCTTTGAGGTGCTGCCAGGCTCATTGCTGCTTATCTTGAAGGTGACTCTTGGGAACGTAAAGGTTCAGTTCAAGTTTAGTTTAAAGAGAAAGACATTGAAGAAGGCAGAGAGCAAGGGGAGGTCATGTCTGCCAACAGCCGGTGGGCGGACGGGACGGAAAGAGAAATTCTGCTTTACATGATGGCCATTACTTCTGAATGTTCAGCGATACATGTGAATTAACACAGGCAAAGTTTTGTTCAGATTTGTGTCCACTTTTTGCCCTCTTTTTTTCAGCGATGGCTAAACTCCTATCAAACTTTTTTTTTAAAGCTTAAGAAGACCGTCTTGCACCCTGTAATGCTTGCAAGAGCAATTTCAGCGCTGCCATACATATCTGTTTTATTGAGGGGTGGTGGGGTTGCGTAGATTTCAAAATCAGACATCACCAGGCATGGCCAAAAAAGGCACCTTAAATATCAGACACTTGAGAGTGTGTAGGATCCTGGGAGGGTGGATTGGGGGTCACATGCCAACCCCTGTTTTGTGTGAATTCGTTTGAAAGAAATCGGCTTTATCTTTTGATGCTGAAAACCCCTAGAAGTGGTTTGTTGATTTCTAGATGTGATACCTCTCTCTGGTGCTGTGGGAAAGAATTCTGAAATATCTGCTGGCGGTAATGCATGGGTAACAGGGACATGTTTTGGAAAATGCGCACACAGTGGCTTTAGTCAATGTTTGCAGATGCAAACAAAGTGTTGTGCATTACAAAATGGGTACATTTGGGGAGCAGATCCGTGCACACGTGGGCCCATACACGAAGGAAGAGGCAAAACGCTCTCACAATGGGATAACAGGCCTGGTGTGGGTCAGGAATGCTCGTGGCCCTCTTGGGAATTGCAACAGAAATAAGACTGGATGAGGCTCACATCCTTCCTTGGCACACAGAAGACTTTGCTGAAGGCGTTGCCGTGGGGGTGGGGTTGCCTTGCAGCAAAATCAGAAATGCAGCCTTAGCCATGGTAGAGACTGGCTACTTAGGGGCAAAGCAGGCATCATCCCCCACTTCTCCAGGCTTATGCTCACTGCTGCCGGCAGGCTCCTGCCTGCCTTCTTACACGGTGGCCACGTCTCACCCTAGAACACTGACTGAACTGGACAGTGAGGGGGGCAGGAAGGGAGCAGGGTCTGTATTTCCAGTGGAGACTGAGGACACCAAGGTGATGTGGGCGCCTCATCGCTGGAAGTTGGAGATTGGACAGCCATCTGTGCGGGATGGTCTGAGGTGTCCTGCCTTGGGCAGGGGGGTTGGACTAGAGGACCTCCAAGGTCCCATCCAACCCTACGATGATTCTGTGATTCTGTGATGAATCCATTCTGGGTTCATCTGAACTTTGAGGAAGGTATTCTAAGTGCTGACCCTGTTTGGGAGACAGGATCCGGCCCCTTGCAGACCTCCTGCGATGTGCAGTAGAAAGCCCAGAAGGACATCTGTGGAGTCATAATCTTCCCATTTCGCTGCACATCCTCCCTCCAGCAACGGAGGATTGTTGTGGATACTGAATGGACGAATCAACCTTAAACATTAAGGTGTCTTGCTAAGAGGGAGGAGGAAGGAGACAGATCCCAATTTACATAGCTTAACTTTTTTTTTGTTGATTCCGGCAACACCTTCCATTGTCCTCCCTGTGGTACCACTTCTGTGGGCCAACCAGCCACTGCTGGCCAGGGTAGGATGGACATGTGGCGATGAACGAATGACTAGAGTTTGGAAAGTGACTTTTCAAAACGGACTCATTCCCATTATGTTGTTTGAAAAGTAACCGGTCGTCGTTACCTCCTTAGTGTTGAAAAGGTAAATTATGACATTATAGAACACACTGAAGAGGGTGATTTTCTAAGTAACTAATTCCTAGTTACTTAGGGGAAAAAATCCTTAAGATGGAGAAGATAATGGCATAAAATGTGAACAAATTCAATAGGAAAAAAAGTGTGTATCGCTGAAATGGCTTTTACAAATGACATTGGAGGGGGGAAAAAAACCTTGCCGATTCATTAAAGCTGTTGTGTTCTCAGTTGTTATAACATTTTTGAAATGCAGCTCATCAGCCAAAAAGAGTGTTAAGGAGGCACCTGTGGAATCAATCAATCGATCAATCGATCAATCGATCAATCAATCTATCTATCTATCTATCTATCTATCTATCTATCTATCTATCTATCTATCTATCTATCTATCTCTTTAACTTATATGCCGCCGACTCTACCCAAAGGTCTCTGGGCGGCTTACAACAATTAAAATACAATAAAAGATGAAATGATTAATGCAATTAAAATGCAATTAAAATAGATACTCTAAAAATTGCCATCAGGACCCAGAGTTGATGTCATTTCAATTAAAAGCCTTCTGGAACAGGAAGGTTTTGACCTGGCACCAAAATGTCACCAGCATCGGCGCCAGACGAATCTCAGTTGGGAGAGCATTCCATAGACTTTTTAGCATCTTTCTAGACGCGGTGCGCCGGGCGCAGCCTGGGGGACAATGAGAGACAGGCTACAAACCGACCTTGGTGCCTCCATTCCACCGCTTTCTCTCCCCCCTCCAGGCTCCATCTCGGTGAACAGCCGCAGCACCCCCTTCCTGGCCAGTGGGGAGAGCGAAATCTTGGACCTGGACAGTGAGATGTACCTGGGGGGTCTCCCGGAGAACCGCCTGGATCTCATCCTGCCCCCCGAGGTATGGACGGCCTTCCTCAACTACGGCTACGTGGGCTGCGTGCGGGACCTCTTCATTGACGGCAAGAGCCGGGACGTCCGGCGCCTGGCAGAGGTGCAGAGCGTGGCCGGCGTCTCCAGCTTTTGCTCCCGGGAGACCCTCAAGCAGTGCAGCAGCTCGCCCTGTCGCAACGGCGGCCTCTGCCGAGAGGGTTGGAACCGCTTCATCTGCGACTGCGTGGGCACTGGCTACCTGGGACGGCTGTGCGAGAGAGGTGAGGGCGTGCGTGTGTGTGTGTGTGTAGTGGGAGGGGGTTTGGTGGTAGTTGAGGGGGAAGGCTTTACATAGGCCCAGGCTGAAAACGCCAGACATGCCAGTTGGCTTGAGGAGAGACAGGGTCAGTTTCACCATTTCCAAGAAAAAGATAGACGGATGGACAGATAAGGGGCTCTACGGAGCATCACGTCCAGCCTGATTTATGGAGAGAGAAAGATGGAGGAAGGGAAGGAGGAAGGGAGGGAAAGATGGAGACATAGGCAGGTTGGGAAGGAAGGAAGGAAGGAAGGAAGGAAGGAAGGAAGGAGCTGATGATGGAAGGAAGGAAGGAAGAAGTTGATGATGGGTGGAAGGAAGGAATGAAGGAAGGAAGGAAGGAAGGAAGGAAGGAAGGAAGGAAGGAAGGAAGCTGGTGAAGGAAGGAAGGAGCTGGTGATGGATGGAAGGAAGGAAGGAGACAGACTGATAGACAAAAGTAGAGGGATAACCCAGACCAAGTCAGCCATAATCCTGGAAGCCTCCCAGTATCTCTTATTTTGCATAAAAAACATTCAGTTCAGGGGGAAAGAGCACTGGACTCTGAACACTGTCACATTTCTGTGACAGGGCAGTACATTTAGTCGTTGCTTCTGCGCAGTGGCCCTAGCGGGTTAAGGGTAAGGCAAAGCCACACAGCCTTTTGTACCTAGGTGTTGATCCTCTCCTGGATGACGGCCTTCCCCAAACCCTTTAGGTGCCTTGGACTCTGATTTCTGTCCTGGTGGGCAGAGGTAGTCCAAAGTAACTAGAAGGCAGGGGCTTGGTGAAGGCTGCCTTAAGCAAGAACTTAGAGAAAACGTGGTCCGATTATGATGATGACAACAGCAGTGGTCATTCCTGCATGTTGCCGGCAAATAATCCTTAGTTTTCCTTTCTCTCGGCGGTGTGTTCCTTGGTTTTCAATGCTGCCCAGGTCTATCTTAGAGCAGTGGTTCTTAACCTTGGGTGACTCAGGTGTTTTTGAACTGCAACTCCCAGAAACCCCAGCCAGCGCAGCTGGTGGTGAAGGCTTCTGGGAGTTGCAGTCCAAAAACACCTGAATATCCCAAAGTTAAGAACCACTGTCTTAGAAGAAGGCTGTTCCTTGGGAGTGGGAAAGGGGGGAATGCCTCTTCCGAGAGAGTACCCCCGGCCGTCTGCAAGTTTTTAAACAATGGGCTTGTATGAAAATATAAGGTGGGCCCACCATTAATTATATTTACAATACATCCACGGAAATAATTGAGACTTAATCCTAACCAAAAGGAAGAGGAACAAATTTTGTTCTGCGAATGGCAGTAGGTGAGGAGTGAGCTTCCCTCGAGGAAGGTGGGCAGAGGTGACTGTAGGATGGATGATGGCCCCTCCTGGCCAAAATGCGTATCTAGACGAGCACTCGTCTTCAGGCGCCAGGAACTCCCCAAGGTGTTTCATGACATCCGGTAGTGGAATGCCCCTCAGGGAGGCTCTCCAGGGGGCTGGGAACGGGAGGGACGGGCCCCAAAATGATTCGGGAAGCCGGGTGCGAGCTATAGGGCAGCAGAGTTCGCTGGAGTCAAGCACCCGTCTGTCAAACTTTACGGACGAAAGCGACAAACCCTCCTTCGAACCAGTCGCCACCGTGACGTGCGGGAAGGTTTCCCTCTGTGTACGTAGAAAGCGAGGGCTCTGCGAACATCAGGGGCGCGGGGCGAAGGTTTCAGAGGGGCGGAAGGGGATCCGACAAAGGGCTGAGAGTAGGATGCTGTGCGCCAGGTGAAAATGGAAGACCCTTTTGGGAACGAGGGTAACCTCTGCTCAGAGGGCCGCCTTCTCCTTCGGGAAGTGAGGCTGAGCAGGGAGGAAACTTTAAGGGGTCCAAGAGCCGCAGGGACCGTCGGCTCGAAAGGGTGCCTTGATGAGTTGGTGAAGGCGGAGGGTGAGATCCCAACGTGAGGGTGGGGGAGCGAGGCGGGAAAAGGTTGTGACCACAAAAAAAGAGAATAGGTTGTTTTCCTCTAACCGTGGTTCTTCAGTGGGTCAACTGTAAACGCACACAACCCTCCCCTCTCGGACGTCCCTGTCTTTACAGTGGACCGAAACCGAGGGCAATGGAATGGATTGAGCGCCTCACACCCTGGCCACGGGGTGGCGCTCCCACCAAAACACCTCAGCTCAGCTCTGAAAGATTCCAAGATGGGACTGCACAGGCACACTTGGTGTGAGTTTGCAGACAGACGCCCAAAGAGCTACCGTTGCCGATAGGCAACCTGTTCTTTCCCAGAAGTTCGAAGTTCGTGGGCCTGCAGACTTCGAGAGCATGGAGGAATCCAGAGAGCTGTAGTCCCTAGAAGTAACTAAGTGAAGTCCTGTTGGGTTGGTCTGCTCTAAGTGTGAACTGGCTCACAATCCAACCTTAGACCGCACGGTTACACCTGTGTGAGAGCAGAAAGTGCAAGGGTGGATGGGGAAATTAGCCAGACCTCTTTGAAGGCAGCTTCCTCGGGAGTAGTGTTCCCTCTTTGCCTACATGCACAAGGCCTGCTAGATCAGGGCCCAGGACCGTCCGTTAAAGAGACAAAATGGCGGAGGATGGGAAAGACCTTTCTCCGCCTGAGACCCTGGAGAGTTGTTCTCAATCATGCCAGCATGCAGGACATGCAGCAATGAGCTACAGGAATTTCAGATTTCAGTTGAATGTCAGGAAACACTTCCTGACGGTTAGAGCGGTACAACAATGGAACCGATAACCTTGGGAGGTGGGGAGCACTCCAACGCTGGAGGCATTCAAGAGAAAATTAGACCACCCCTTTGTCAGAACTACTTTAATTTGGATTCTTGTCTTGAGCAGAGGGGCTGGACTTGATGACCTTCTAGGTTCCCTTCCAACTCCATGATTGTATGATTCTGTGAAAAGTCTGGATCGTGCCTAGCTAACCATCCTGTTCTCGGCTTCCTTATCTTTCCTCCGCCCGGTAGAGGCCACAGTGTTGAGCTACGACGGGAGCATGTACATGAAGATCATGCTGCCGACGGTCATGCACACGGAGGCCGAAGACGTGTCTCTCCGCTTCATGTCCCAGCGCGCCTACGGGTTCATGATGGCCACCACTTCCAAAGAGTCGGCCGACACTCTCCGCCTGGAGTTGGATGGGGGCCAGATGAAGCTCACGGTCAACCTAGGTAACCAACTGGTCAAGCCCTCTTGAGATTGTCCTATTCCTTGGCCTTCTGTGCTTTCAGGTCCAAAAAAAAGCTCCTGGCTGGGCCGTCTCCGGGCGCATGGAACTACATTTCCCATCACTTCTTAGCCAGTGGGGATGATGGGGTTTTGTAGTCTGCGGCTGGGAAGGTTCTCGCTTTGGGAAAGCTGCTTTGGTGGAACGTGCTTCCTCATGGATCAGCTTCCCCCAGAGGGCTCCCCGTGAGTAACGTTTGGAATGCAAAATCCACATGCTTTTAAGAGGGAAAGATTGATCACCTGGAGACTAGAATCTTCCCATCACTCTGAGGATTAGTGTGGAGAGACTTTGCTTCTGGCTACCCATTTCCTTATCGTAGGCAGATGTTGTATCGTGCATAGGAAAACACACAGGTCTTCTCAATCTTGCATTTGAAAAAAATGCTACAGTAAGCTTTGATTGCAAGAAGAGAAGGCGGTGATGTACAGTATATAGGAGGAACAGATACACACACACACACACACACACACACGGTTCAGCCATTATGCCTGGGGATAATGAGCATTGTATCCTGATAAGTCTGGTGTGGCTGGGGGGAATTTTCTCCAAAGGCAACCCTGGGGTGCACAAAAACCCTTGTTTGCCAGGATGCTCCTGGCTTTGACGAATCTTTCAGGGCTGCAGCAATGCAGGTTTACAGCTACGTCATTTCACTGCCCTTGTGAAAGTTTCGCTTCCGCAAACTTCTGAGCTTCCAACTTCTGTGTGTGAGCAATTTCAGTTAAAACATGGAACGGGTAGCCGGGGCAGAAATACATCAGCCCACTCTCTTCGGTGTGAGCTGAACCCACCACCTGTGTGGACTGGATTGTATCTCTCCAGCCAGTGTGCTCAGTAGGGGAATATGGGTGTTGTGGTTCACCTGGAGCAAGAAGATGCTGTTTGGATGAGACCATCGTTGTCGTGATGAGTCACTTCTGGCTTCCGTGGACCCACGTTCTTGTGGCATTTGAGATGTTCAAGCAGTGGGGTTTTTTTTTCATTGCCACGTCCTCCTGCGATCCCATGTCTTCGCAAGGATTTGAACCCAGGTCTCCTGAAGTCTACTCCGACTCTCCGTCCAGTGTACCACACATAACAGCTGGTGGATTTTGCTTTCCAAACTGTGCCATAAGTTACTCACAGCTTATTTTTCAGCGCGCAGAAGACGGGAGGGTGGGTGGCGAATGTCGCCCGGGAACCCATTCCATGCTCTGGTTCTTCCCCATTGATGGTTAGGTCTTCAGAAAGAAAGCCTGCTCCGTGTTTGGAGCCTCCCTGCCCTTTTCTCTGGGTCAGCGTCAGACCACAGACCTGCATCCAAGCAGCTGGGGTCTGGAGTTGACCCTTTCTCTTTTAAATCGGGGCACCTCCCACCTTGGGGTACCTGTGCCAGTGATGGAAAAAGGAGAAAAGTGCTGAGGTCCGCCGCCCAGAGTTTGGGGATGTTTATATACATATATTCTGGGAATTGTATAACTTTCCCAAACTCTGAAGCCCCCCCCACACACCTCCGGCCCTCCTGGGTGCCTAGAGAGAGAAAGGGGAGGGTTGCTTCTTTCTACTGACCTAACGGTGGGAGGTATTCTCCTCCACCCTCTGACCTTGGTTTTTGACCCTTCATCGGCACATATATGGCCAGCCCACAGCAAACAGCCACTGTGACCGAGGGCCCTGTCCCATGGGCTTTCTCTGCTCATCCTGCCACGGTGTGGTTCCTTCCCCTCCCCTGGACCCCTTCCCACGACTCCCCTCTCCTTCTCCCACCCCTCTCCACTGACCCTTCGCTGCCCACTGTCCCCTCCTGCCCGTAACCCCCTGGAAAGGACGTTTTCTCGGTCCAAGGGCTGTTTGCATCCACTCTTCTGCAGCGGTTGACGACGCGTGCCAAGGCCAGCTGTGCACTCTGGCTGGGGTGGGACCCCCCTCTTTCCCCCTTCTTCTGTCCAGACCCACCCAGGGGGACATCAGAAGTACCCCTCATTGCCCACAGCTTAGAAATGCCCCATTTATGGGGGGGGGCGTTTGGGAAGCTGTCGCCCCCCAAACAAGCTTGTGGGTGCTTAACCTCCATCACCAAGGCCATCCTTGGTCCCTCTGGCTTTTAAAGTCTGAGAAAAGCTTCTTGGCCTTGCACGGCAGGTGGGGCCCGGGCACATCCCTTTTCAAAGGCCCTTTCTGGTTCTCCCTGTGGCGGTCAAGGAGACAGGGGCTGTCCGGTTCCTCCCTGCCACGGGCTCAGCCCCTCGGACATACGTGAGCGGAGTCCGTGCCAAGGCAGGAGCAGACAACCGGCTCTCCAGTTCTCGTGCAGTTAACACGCAAAAGGGTGCCCTTCTCCTCATCCTCACCGGGGGGGGGTCCCTTCAGGTCGGGGAGGACAGAAGGACTGCCCCCCTCAGGTCCCTTCTCCTGCACAGCTGGCCTTTACAAGGCGGGCACTTGCCAGCACTGAGGAGGACCCCCCCCATCTCCCCTTCCCTCCCAAGAAGCCAACCCAGGTGGGAAGAAGCTGGGCTGCTTGGCCGGGGAGGGGGAGTGGGTGACGATGGCCCACTCGGCTCCTTTGGGGGGGGAGCAGGATTGGGGAGGGGGGAAATCTCCCCTCCTCCCCAGTGCAAAGCAAGTGTCCGCCTTGTCACGCGTCTGTCCCCGGATGGTGGGCGTTATGAACTTTTTGGGTGTTTGGTTGCAAACGTTACTTTGAAGGATATAAAACTCGTGTTCTCTTCTCTTTCCCCTCCCTCCCCCCCGGCCCCCCATCTCAGACTGTGTGAGGATAGGCTGTAACCCTAGTAAGTTGCTCTTCTTTTTTCGCTTTCTCTGTCTTTCTCTCTCTCTCTCTCTCTGTTTCATGTCTTCTTCAACTTTTCCATTCCTGCGGGTTCTGGGTACGGTTTTGCTTTGCTCAAGATGGAAGGTGCATGTTTCTCTCTGTGTGCGTGCGTGCGTGCATTTGTGTGAGTGCTTGTGCGCGTGTACATGAGAGAGGGGGATAAAGAGTTCCAACAACAAAAGAATTAGGAGAGGGTCACAGAATTCAATTCAATAACTAATAATAATAATAATAATAGCCTCCTGGAGATTCCGACGCTCCTCATCCTTGACGTAGGATAACAAGATGCCTGCAAAATCCTTCGAAGGGGGGATCAATAGGACGGGGCTGTTTTCCGAGGCCAAGACGTTAGCGTGGTTTGTCCTTTATGGCGCTTTCTGTGGACGCGAGAGCGTTGGTGTTGGGGGGGGGCGGCGGCGAAATCCTTTCTCTGCTTCTCCGGTTAAGACACCTCTTCACACACCAACACCTCCACTTTCAAAAACGGCCCTCAAAAGCAGCTCCCCTCAGGTTGGTTTTGGGAGAACAGCCGCCAACGAGGCCGTCAAGAGTCTCTACACAGCATCTCCGAGGTGAGTCGGTGTCCGGTGGTGGTTTTTTATCCCCAATACCTGTTTTTTTTCTTTTGATGATGATGACCAAAGGGCTGTGCACCACAACTCGGAGAAAATTCCCCATGGAGAGGACAGAGGTGCGTTGCGTTTGGCGAGAGGGCACCGCTCAAGCCACAGTGACGAGGGCCTAGAGGCGACTCACTCTCTTTGAGGATGGCCACCCCCTTGTTGAGGTCCTTGAGGGACGTGGTGGTGCTGTGGGCTAAACCGCAGAAGCCTGTGCTGCAGGGTCAGAAGATTAAGCAGTCGTAAGATCGAATCCACGCGACGGAGTGAGCGCCCGTCACTTGTCCCAGCTCCCGCCAAATTAGCGAGTCGAAAGCATGTAAATCCGTGTAGATAAATAGGGACCACCTCGGTGGGAAGGTAACAGCGTTCCGTGTCTAGTCGCGCTGGCCACATGACCATGGAAGATTGTCTTTGGACAAAAATGCTGGCTCTATGGCTTGGAAACGGGGATGAGCACCGCCCCCCAGAGTCGAACGCGACTGGACAAAAATTGTCAAGGGGAACCTTTACCTTTACCCTTACCTTACCCCCTTGTTTCATTTCTTGTGGGGATGGCTGAGCAGGCTAAAAAGGTAGAGGAAGGTCTTGTCAATTTCCCTTAAGCCTCCAGATACGTTCTTTTTTTTTATCCCGTAGTGTGAGTGCCGGTCTGGAGCTAAGGAGGAGAGAGTTGATTTGGGGGTACTGGTGGATGGGGATGGCGGGGGGAACACTAGATTTTGTTGGATAAGGTTTATCTGCCATGTCCGGAGGCACGCGAAATCTTACCGACTGCCAGAGAAGGGGACCCCCAGCACAAGCTGGGTCCAAAATCACCTGAGGCCCACAAGAAACCCAACATAATTTTGGCACCGGTAAGACGAACAGGTCCGTTGCCCCCCCAGCATGAGTTTTCACAGATGACAATTTGTCATCTGTGATCCTAAGAGTGGGTTTGGTGAGTTTTCACAGATGACAATTTGTTAATCCTAAAAGAGTGGGTTTGGGGTTTTGCGTTTCTTTTGTTGTTGTTGTTGTTGTTGTTGTTGTTGCCGAAACGCAAAGCCAGAGCTGCCCTCCTGAAAATGGCTTGGTGTTCATGCAAGAACGATGTCTCCTACCCTTCTCGGGGTGAGGGGACCCTCCCCCCTTTTTTTAACAAGGGGCCTGATCCTGGGTGGGCTTCAGTCATGATAGGAGTGGAGGAAGAGGAGGAAAAAGTGAATGTCGTTGGTAGTTTTTTGCCAGGATTTGGGCAGAAAGTGGTTTAGAGAAGAGGCTTGGGAGATCTTAGCACATCAGCTATCTCCTGCACACTGGTAGTAACGAAATCCTTCTCCTCTTAGAACGGCAGAGCTGGAAGGGAGCCTCTGGATCAAGACCAGCCCCTCGTCAAGGAGGCCCTGTGGGGGAATCGAACTCCCCTAAACCACTGAGCTATCCAGCCATTCAAAAACAGGAGCCAGGGCCTTATGCACGCCAGACGTCATTAACACTTTAGGATCCCTGCCTGCTGTTTACGTAAATCCGTTTCTGACCTGTTTCAGCTGCGGGAGCTTCCAACTGAAAACGATGGGCTCCCTACCTCAACCCCTCTCCCTTCCTCCAAATACGGGCATCCCTGTTGGAGGAAGGGTGGGCAGACCAGTTCTCTGGGGAGGTCAGGCTGTGGTGCACAAATCCACCCGCCAGATGGCGCTCCACTAAGAGGGAATTGCAGCTCTAATAGGTGCAGGTCAGGCTCCAACCAGCAGGGGGCAGTGGTAGACCCTCTCTGTCCATGAGACATCCAGACAGTTGTAGGTAGACAGTGTCCTCAGATTTGGGCCACTTGCATGTCTAAAGTTTGGGGGAGTGGGGGTCGTGAGCAAAGAAGAGCCAGGGGGAAGAGTTCAAACGAAGGTATTGCTTTTTTTTGTCCACTGCCCCAGCCAAAGGGGTGCTTTTGGGATAACACATCTTCTGGGCTGTTTTTCAGTGCAACATGATGCGGCAAAGCAGGAGGGGCATGTTTTTAGCGCTCATGAGCAGGTGGGCCCCCTTCAGGCACATGGAGAGTTTCTCCCAAGAGGGAGGCATCGGCGTTCTCGCTAGAGTCATGCCACCACGTTGAGGTTTTCAGCTATCCCTAATCGCAGCCCTAACGGTGAGCACAATAGGATTCTCACTGGCGTCATTCAATGCAGTGGCTTTTTTGGGGGGGGGAATGTCCATGAACCTGGACTAACCATGGGGTCAAGGGGTGAGTGCCAGATGGAAGCACCGCCACCCCCCACTTTCTGTTGCCTGAGGCATCTGCCACTGCTCTGGCTTCTGCCTCCCAACCATTTCTGCCCTCCCGCCCCTTGGCTGCCTGCATCCTCCCGCCTCTCCTAGGTGAACCATGCTGGAACCAGGGCATTGCGGAGTTGTGGCCAAAGGTGTCCCTCCTCTTCCACCAGCTGTGCAGGTGTGGCAGGAAATGGCTGTGACAAACCCAGACCTACTGGGATATGTCACACAGTTACACTAAGCTGCCACCAACCATTCCCTGTAAGAAGTCACACAGACCAGGGATGGATTTTTAAACAATAAAAAGAATAAGGTTTATTTAAACACACACATGGAAAAATAAAACAATCAGGTGAATAAAATATAGTAACGTGGCTTATTCTCTCTCATACAAGCATACAGTTTGGTTCACACAGAACCCTTAACTTGAAGCACAGACCCTGAACCTATCAGTTCTGGCTAACCAACAGACACCTGAACCTATCAGGTTGGTACTCTGACACACAGTAGTACCCTGTCTGACACACAGACTCCCACAACAGCTTCTTCTTCCCAGCTGCTGCTTCGTCACCTCCCAGTGTCTCACACTGTCTCTTAGCATCTCCTAAACTCTCCACACACGCTTCACATATTTATACAGTACAGCCCCTCCTCCTGATGTCCCGCCTTCCACTCCCCATAGGATGGAACTTTCCCTCCAAACCCATGACAGACAGGTAACATCAGTGCTGTATGTAACAATGGCATCCCCCCCTTTTTTTTTTTTTTGCTGGCTCAGGGGAGGGGAGAGCATTTGCCAACCAGCTGTGCAGGTGTGGCAGGAAATGGCATCCCCCCCTTTTTTTTTTTGCTGGCTCAGGGGAGGGGGAGAGCATTTGCCGATGCTATCGTGAAGCGAGAGGGCCTGTTAATGGAACCTCGCTATGGTCTGCGCTGCCCAAAGAAGCACATGCCCTTATTCTTCCAAGCCAAGCTAAAGCGGCATTCCAACTTTGATCCGGAATCCCATTTCTAGCTCACGCTTTCCAGGAGCATGTAGGAGATTTATTAAAAACTAAATATCAGGGAGAAATTGTGTTGGTTAACCTGGACCTTGTGGAGTACTCTCTCCTTTGCATCGCCTACATCAAAACATGTATAGGAACACATTACTGTTTGTTAAATCTGCCCTCCTCTGATTTTTCCCACGTCCTTCTCCAGTTAGAGCATGCACAAAAGGCATCTATTAGGAGATATTCTGCATAAAATCATGCAGGAAACGTGGTAGGGTAGGGTGTATTGCCTGCAAAACTATAGGATTGGGGGGGAAGAGTGTGCAGGAATTTGCATCGTGGATGAAACACGGAAGTGTGCGTGATTTTCTTGTGTGGGTGCAACATGCGGATGTAGCCAAAACAATTGTAACTTCGGAAAAATAAGAGAGAAGATGAAATCCAAGCGGAGCTGTACCGGAAAACGGAGTCCTCTCCAATGAGTAGCCATGAAGGTGAGCCTACACAAAGGTTATGCCTATGGCCGAGGGAGCTGATGTGGAAGCAGCTGCGGGTTTCCTTGAAAAGAGTCCTGTAGGTTTGGAGCGGCTTTGAAGGCCTCTTTCCTCATTCCCACAGCTGCCTGATTCACCCCCTTGGAACAGCCAAGAAGACTCTCCCCCTGGGCTTTCAGGTAGCATCGGGGCCCTCCTGAGCACCTACCCCAGAGCCCTGCTTCACATACCTTTCTGAAACAACAACAACAAAACAACTCAAAAACCCCAACTAACAAAAGAAGAACAACAACTGATCACTTCTCTTACTCCTATAGAATTCAAAAGAGGCAGTATCTCCCCCCTCCCCGCATCCCTCCCACTTCAGTATAACAGATCAGACAAGGGTCTTAAAGTACTTCCAGGCAATGGCCATTGCCCGATCAGGTGCAGAAGCGGGAGATAGAGAAGCTCTCGGAATAATCAAATGGATCACCACGGCCTTGCTCTTCTACATTGATCCTCCTTTGCAGAGCAAAGGGCAGTAAGCCCATGTGCTGACCTCAGCCTCAGCTCCCATAGAGGCAGAAAGACTCCCCGGCCTCTCTCGGCCTTCCTTCT